CAGCCAGGAGTCCCCAACAAGGAGACCTGAGACAAGTTGTGCAGGGAAGGAGTGCGGGTCCCTTCCTGCAAGTCGTGAAGCGAAGGAGTGCCTGAGCCAGCAGCAGCAGCAGCAGCAGCAGCAGCAGAGGCAACTGAAGCAGCGCTAAGGTTTTCACGTCCGTCCTGAGCTCTCTCCTGGTCGGCAGAGCACCGACCGGAAGCTGAGCCTTCTGAAGCAACCCGACTGCAACTGGGGCCTGGGCAACCCAAAGGGCCTTTGCAACCAGAAGTTTTCGCAGCGTAGCGTCCACAAAAGGTCGCGGCACTCGTGAGCGAGTGCAGCGAAGGAGTGCCTCGCCCTGAGTCCTGAGTCCGCGGCTGCCCTGCCTGAGAACTGACGGCACTTTGGAGGGAGTGCACAGAGGGAGTACGTCCACCGGAGCCCTTAGCGGCCAGCAGTTTAGGCTTGGGACTACCAGCGCTTTGCAGAGAGTGAAGAGAGGGAGTGGCACTGCCAGGAGCAGCTCCCTGCAACACTTGCCGCTCCGGGATGATAGACTCCCGCAGCCAGCTCCTCTTAACAATCTTCACATCAAGTCCTTCAGGGGGCTTGAACCAAGTGAAGTGTTGGTCTTTGAGCAAAAGAGTGACCGGTTGGGTTTTGCGCGCGATCCTAGCATATCCAGCGTGGAATTCTGGGGCAATCGTGGCCCGTTTCCAGTGATTGCCAGCGGCGTGAAAGTACCACACTATGATCGGTTGACCATATCTAACGGCACACGCCAACAACACCAAGCCATCAGCCCAAGCAGTGGGAGACTCGAGAGTGAGCAGCCACTGTTCAAACGACTTGGTGAGAGCCTCCTGAGAGGGTTGGGGACTTTCGGGAGGGGTGTCTTTGTCAACAGCGAAGTTAGGGATGTACCGCTCGAGGTGACGCCTCATATGCGAGACAGCATCAACCCGGACCAGAGCTCCCTTGTTCTTACTCTCTTTCTGAGACAAGACCTTGCCACTGTCAGTGTACTCTCTGGCAGCAGCAATGCATCGGAAAGCACAGTCACCGCAGCCCTGAAGATTAACCTCAGTCCATCCTTCACTGCGCGCTTGAGCAACTTCGTCTGTGGAGGTGCAAACTGGAACGTCCTCAACAGCGGGAGTAGCGGTGACTTCAGCTACTACCTCAGTGTCGTCACGCATTTCTGCTGAGCCAGTCTCGACCTGCATGGCGTCAAGATCAATTGCCGGAGGCTTGGATCTTTGGGCGCGCGCTGTCTGTAAGAAAGAACTTTTTCGGAGGACCTCGAACCTCAAACACATCGGAGACTTTTTGACACTCACTCTCGGACTAGCCTGGCAAGGTCTGCAGAAGTAGGTACGACGATGATCATTAACTGCCCGCAAGCCCATTAGCTCACAGGGTGCTGTCAGACAAGATCCCAGAAACACCAACGCCAAGTGTCCAAGCATAACACAGATCCCAACTGACAGCAGACTCCCAGAGCACAAACGCTAAACCGAAAGAACCCACCCCTAGTTCCGTACTCCAGGAGCCCCGTGAAACAGCTTTCGGTACTACTACCAACTCACATCACTCCAAGGCTTCAGAGGTTGCAACATGCAGTATGACCAACCACCACGTTAGTTCACTCATACCTGTCCAGTCGTGCAGCTGTCCATGCGTGTTTTGCTAAACCAGGACATGCACCATGCACCATGCAGCAATCTCACCATCCACCAGTATGTGGACCAAAAAGCCGCGCCCCATCAGCGAGAGCCCGATCGACTTGCCATGCATAGATATAGAATAACCCATGTAGAAAAGCGCATTGCCGTGCGGACTTTGTCTACCATGCAGAAGGGATCATGTCCCGAGAACAGCGTGCCATAGCCCCCCGCAGTTCGCTGTCGCAGACGAAGGTGAGCTCACTCACAAATTCACCACGCAGTCGGCACTCAGCTCTAAGGACAGTGGTTGTGCAGAGCAAAGCAAACATAAAACCATGCAAAAGGCAAGTCGCCAATATCATGCAGTGGTACATCCTACCCCAGCTGCCCACTCGTGGATCAGGACGGACTAGGTCTCAAATTCATCATGCAGTTTGCATTTTCGTATGCAGAAAACTCCCAGAGGCAGTGGCTTCCAAGAAAATTCATGTAGCTTTTATGCCAGAATAAGGATCATGCAATGATACATCCAGCAGCCACGGCCACATGCAGGCGATGTGTGTCCAGTAGCCAGGCGGTGTTTGTATCCAGTGATGCTCAAATTCAGCCATGCCGTAAAACAGCCTATCCCAGCTGCCCACTCGTGGACCAGAACAGACCATATCTCAAATTCACCATGCAATGTGCATTCGCGCATGCCGAAAACTCCCCGAGTGGCCTCCAGGAAGATCCATGCAACCGTCATGCCGGAAAAAGATCATGCAGTGATATGTCCAACAACCACGGCAATATGCAGGTGATGTGTATCCAGTGGCCAGCTGGCGTTTGCATCCAGTGACGTTCAAATTTAGCACTTGGCATCCAGAAATTCTCAAATTCTCATGTCTGTGTCAGACCCCCGATCTCAGCACACGTTTATTATGCCCGGAGCTGGTGATATTGTGGCGTAGGTGCCAGCTCAGTGTCCACATACAAAAACCACGTGCGTAGACGAATTCGTTCAAAAACCACCATCAAAGATGAATAAAACTCCGGAGGCGGCTTCCGTGCAGCGCGGAGGTTCAGTGCCCTCATCTCCTCGCATTTCTGCGCTAGTCGTCGCCAATACGATGCCACAAGTGGCATCCGTGTCAGATGCTCCATCTCGGGGAGCCGCCACAGCTCTGCCAGAAATCCACTGACATTGGTCGCGAAAAGTGTGGGGCATGCAGAGTCCTCCATAGTCTCCACGAATTCCAGAATTCCAATACCATCGTCAGTCCATGCAGGAATTCTTCGAAGCAGTCCGTAAGTCATGGCGTGGCAAGGCAGGTGAAACAGAGCTGCTGTGTGTCAGAGGTTGGCTGTTATCCCCAACTGGAAGTAAAGTGCTATGCCATAGTAAGTTGAACTCAGATTACAGGCAAGGCAGCAGCATCATCATCAAGACCAGCACCAAATCGTCACCCACAATGTTTTCCACACAGCTGGGTTTCGTTGGGGTTTCAGGGTCGGTTCAAAGATCCTCCTGGCTGTCCAGCACCTCGATCACGTCGTGAGGTTCCTTTCGAGACGGCGGAAGCTGCAGAAACTCCTGAAGGGTGAGCTGTTTCAAACGGCAGGGGCCTTCTAGGGATTCGCGGAGGTCAGTTTTGGAATTGATCCGAAACCCTAAATCGAGTAGCTGATCCACGACTTCAGGATGGAGGGTGCTCAGATGAATAGAGTTAAAGGCAACTAGGATAACTCTCGAGGAGGGGTCAGCGGTGGGGGGAACAATCCCAGCGTGAAGGAGCCTGCGAGCATCCAGAACAAAGGGCTTGTCAATCGAAACTACCCTACCTTTAACTAGGGTCCCCAGGTGAGGCATGTTCACATCCCCACACGGGTCCTGAATCCAAAGGCCTGCCCCTGAAATAGGGGGTGAGAGCTGCATAATCAACGATTGATTACTCCCGTTATTAGTGTCCCTATGAGGCCGGGCCTTGCACCCTCGAAACAGAATACAGCAAGTGAACCGAAAAGAAGGGCACACATAAGCAACCATCTTAGTAATAGCGAGCGACATGAACGGCATGTCAATGGAAAAGCTGAGCAAACACTGTGAGTTACGGGGATTTGCCCCGATCCCAAAGTACCTGATCCCATCCTTAGTGCTTCGTCTGAGGTATGTTGATGGCAACATGTCGAAAAGCTGATATATATCGTGAGGTGTAGGAGGGTCAGCCTGCCTCAGTAACAGGAGGGCTTGGTACTCAATGGGCCTCAAGAGAGGATTCGCAGAAAGTGCAAACGGCGGGTCCAATACATTTGTTTGCATGGCTTCAAGGGACATGCGTTCAATCTTTCTCGTTTTCCGAGGACTGTGCTTGTGGGAGAGGCCTGGGTCCGGGGTGTTAGTTACATCATCAAGATGAATGGGTTCATTCACAGAGGGACCCTGCAGCGGAAAAGGAAAGGACCCCATGCTCAACAGCAGCTCAACTACACTCGTTCGCATGAAATGCTAGAGCCATGACGCGGAACAACTGCATATGACATGACACTGAAAACAGTACTTCAATAAGTCGGTCTTTTAGGCTTGCAAAGACATGCATGTGATTCATCTGGTTGCGTTCTGAACAGCTTGCAGGCTATTCAGTGTCGGAACAACGTCTGACTCAAGCACTGATCTTAAGTGCGAGAATGACATCTTGACTTGTTTAAAGTTGGTTTCATTATTAATTACAAGAGCCTTTGCATGCAGAGTTTGATCTTCACAGGCTCTTCGAATTCTCTTGAAATTCTCATCATGGGCTTCGAGCTGTTCCACAAAGTTGTCCATGGAAGCTTCCAAAGTGGATATACGGTATCCCAGGTCGTGCACAATATTTCTGAATTCGTCTCCAAACTGCCGAATGAGGGTTTCCAAATCCTCACGTTGCCGAAGTTGTTGTGCCAGAGTTTCCCCTAGCTTACGGTCGTTCATCCGTACCAGCCGCAAAATGCTCTCGCATAATGTATCCGAAAACAGAGAACCTTCAACTACTACCCCGGCTGAAGAGTGAAGACGCTGGTGAGTGTCCTCCAGAGTCTGAAGCACGTTGCTCAGACGTACTGCCAGAGTCCATGCTCGGGAGGTCACTTGCAATGCGAATTCCCACAAGCGTTGCACACTCCACAGAAGGAGAATGGTCACGCAGGCATATAGCAGAGTATGTATATCCATGGCAAGGGGCTGCGCTACCAGGCGAACTCCGGTTCACTATCAATCTAGTGGGGCCTGAAGCCTCAAAAAGGTACAAGCATCGCATGATTGCACACCTGGAGGACATACAACTCGAAAGCATGCGTCGAAAAAGCATCAAAGTCTCTCAAAAGCCTTTTAACCATTCACTGCCCTCGAAGCACATTAGTGGCTGCAAGTGCTAAAATAGGAAGGTCCGGGCGATCTTCGAGTGGGTCATCTTCCCAGGGCGCCACAGGTGGCATGATGGAGCACAGGTTGTAGAAGTCACCCGGCGAAGCTCTAGCCCCGAACAAGCCCAACTCTGAGTCCATACACCTTCGCAAGGCTTGGGTGTGTGCATTCAGGTCCTCACGTAAGGCATCCATTGCTTCCTCAGTGCCATCCAGGTTGCAACGGAATTTCCCAGGGGGAAATTCATTGGCCAAGATACCGTGCACCGAGCGCAACAACGGTGATGCTTGGTGGACTTTATGCTCCACCCTTCCTTGGGTTTGATGTAGTCGCTCAACTGAGCGCGCCAGGTCCTGAGTGAGAGTCGTTAGCTCCTGAAGCAGTCGAAGGCATTGGGTCGTATCTCCTCGGGAAGTCTGTATCCTGGCTGGTGGTGGCTCACGGAGGGCTTCGCTAGCATCATTATGCAATTGAATTACGAATTCTCGCACTTGTCCCAGCCCTTCGTTGACAGCAGCGAGGCTGTCTGTGATATGGGCAAAAGCCAAGATTTCGTCGCGAACTTCCAAAAGAAGCTTTGGCATTCTGTAGAGGTCTCTCCAAAACTTGCATTGCCACAAAAGGAACCTGCGCACTGCCAAAAGGCAAATCAGAATTACCAGCACCAAATTCAGCATGCATGGCCATGAAGGGGTTTCCATATGGACCTAAACTGACGACTTCTCAGCTTTGAGAAAGGCAGCTACAGACTGACGAAACCAACTTACCAAGACGTTCATGCAGCAGAAAGGTCAGCCAACCGCAAATCTGTAAAAGAGCTCAACAATAACATGAAAGTGCAATCGGTCCAGAACCTCTGAAGCTGCAGACGGACTGAAGATTTTACGCACTCATCCTGTGAGGTACGGGCTCAGCGCCTCTGTTGGGACTGTTGAGCCTGCAGAACTTGTGCAGCCGCCATCACCAGGGTGGTGAGATCAGGTCCCCCGGTCGCGGTTGGATTTCCGGGAGGAGAACTCGGGACCACCGGTGCAACTGGCAAAGTATCAACCAAAGATATGGATCGTGCCTCTTCTTGGGTCGTTGAACGACCCTGATCATGGTAAGGCTGGTCATTGGCACGACTGTCACTTGCGCGTGAATTAGAATACTGTCCTTGCTGTGAATTAGAATACTGCCCTTGCTGTGAATTAGAATACTGTCCTTGCTGCGAATTCTCTTGTTTGTACCATGCATTAACATCCCCTTGGATGGTCTTCAAAGTGTCCTTGAGGTAGTCGAACTTCTTGGCGAGCAACCCATGAGGCAACTCAGCCTTGATGATCTTCAGTGCTTCATCCAAGGCCACCTGAGCCTTGGCAACCTCACCCAGACATCGAGTCCCCAGGTCGTTGCCATTCCTCACCAGGCCATCAAGTGGCTGAAGCATTTTGAGAACATCATTCATCTTGCCCTCGAATTCTTTGAGTTCCCGGACATTGCCAGTAACAAATTTCTCCATTTCCTCATGCAGTCCTCCCGCCGCAGAGTTGATGTCTTTGAGGAGGTCCTGAAGCTTGTCCATCATATTCTTGATTTCATCCATCATCTCGTGGGTCAAGCGGAGTTCCTGCAAGTGGTCGCGGATATCTCCCAAAACGATGGGGAGGCGCATGCACTGAAACACAAATTCCCATGCAGTCTTCATCCAGTCGGGGCAGAGATCGCCTCTCATGCCCAAAAAGCAGAGGAGAACGGCCAGTCCAATGAGGACTCCACTGGAGACCTCCGAAGAGATCCACGAATTGATGACTCCCGAAAGTCCTCCCGCTTCCATGTTTGCAACGAGGGTGCAAGGCGGGAAAAATAGTTCAGGCTTGATTTGCACTGACTGCTGCAGCAAGTAACTTGAAAGACTGATGGGCACATTATCGGACCGTCCTGCCCCCCCCCCCCCTTTACCCACAACTGAAGTGTGACATCCATGACGACGACGGAAAAAATTTAGCCCAAGAGGCCTCCAAGGTCCTGACCAAGGTCATGTTGGCAGGGTGGGGATTATAGGGAAACTGCATGAGTGTTTCGTATCGTGGTGGCAGCTTGGATGGCATGATCTGCATGAATTCTAGGATGTCCAACTGTCCTAGGCGGTACAAAAGATTCCTGGCAACGGGCGCCGCAACCAAGCCTAAGAACAGCGGATGCTGCAACAGCACCGATGGTAAGAAAATGACAGGTTTGTTCAAGGGGTCATCATCATGCAACATTTTGGCTAAATGCCATACAACTAAAAGCCCTGCAGCAATGTTGCCAATCAAGTCCACTTCCTGCGGGGGCTGTTGAACAAGTGTAATTTTGCTGGGTTGGAAAGATCCCATCAGCAGAAGAACAGAAATACCCTGATCCTGCTCAAACCTCACCAACAATGAGCGATTTGAAATAAATCGCGTGGCTTCCTGAACATGCAGCAAGGCTCTCGCATACGGTTGCTCAAAGAGGTCCTCGCGTACCGGCCGTAAAATGCAAAGCTTCTTATGAAGAATTAAAAGCTGCATATGCATGAGATAGGCAGACTCGCACTTGGTGTTGATGGGCGTAACCCATCGGCGAATCCAGCCATGTTCAAGACTTTTCCATGTGTCCCTATCAATTGCAGCAAGTTCCCAGCAATCCGGATCATGACGTCCTCGAAACTGGGCAAAGGTTTTCTGGAGTTTGCGCGGGATTAAATCGACAAGCAAGCCAGGTCGAACGAGCCCTGCGTCAAGTGCAATGGTCCCAACTTGTCTAAGGATACGGCAGTTAGGGAGGTTGAGCGGATTTCTCCACACATGCCCCCAGTAGCGCCAGAGCTGGGAAAGCCAAGTGGCCGCCCAGTTCGGTCCTTTCAATTCCTGACAGAGGAGCCGACAAGCCCGTCTCCTGGCAGTGGTATTCCGTACCCAAGACTCGAAGGGGTCCCCAATGATCCTGGTCATGCTTAACAAGAAGGTGTTTTTGCAAGCTTCAAGCTGTTCCAGCGATCGCTGAGTGGGGTAAGCTGCCGGAGCTAACCACCGCCACCGCGACGTGATGTATGTATCCAGCAAAGCGAATTTAGTATGCAAAGCGCATGCATGTGAGGAAAGAATCTTCTTGAACCCAAAGAAAGCGTTGCTCGCCTTTCGCAGCGAGAAGCCCAAAGTATCAAGAGGTCCCATTGAGTATCCCAAGGGCGCTCCCAAGAAAATGAATTGTTCACATACCTGTAGCGGTGCACAGGACCCTCTAGCCCAAATACCAGGGTAGGTGCACTCTGGACTCGCAAGAGCAGCGCACTTGTCAACATTGACCCTGAGCCCCAGTGCGTCCAAGCAGTCCTGAATATCGCGTAACTTGGATTGTAACTCCTCTGTGGAGCGTGCAAAAGCAATCACATCATCAGCAAACAACAGCATATGAGGAGTATGAATTCCCTGCACACACGGTCCCCAGAGTCTGTCCCACCTCCCCTCCAGGTCACGCAGCGCCCATGCAATTAATCTGCTGAACAATTCCGCACTGTAACTGGTCCCTTGCATAACCCCTTGCTGAAGAGATTGATACCAATGCTCCCCGTTTAGCGCAAGGAGGACTGTGTTTCCTCGAACAAGATCCCACAGCCTCAGTGCTTCACGAGAGGGTTGAGACTCCATCAAGAACTGCCCGATGCTGCGATGATGCACTGAATCAAATGCTGCAGCAATGTCAAGCTTAACCCCTAACAGTGGGGCTTTCCTGGCTTTGGACAAGGAAAGCATCATCTGAGCAGTGGTGATCCCATCAAGAACTTGACAACCTTTCCTGGCCCCCAGCTGGGCCGTGGTGATTTCAGGCAGCTTCGCCCGTAGCCGTACACTAAGAAGCTTTCCAAAAAGTTTGCAAACAGTACTAGTAAGACAGATTGGGCGCAGTTGAGAGGGCTTGAGGGGGCGCGAAATTTTGGGAAGAAAGGTGATTTTCCCTTCCTTCCATTCTTTAGGGATTGCTTCGTCGCCAGCGAGGACTTTGTTAAACCATGCAGGGAGCCTGTTGTCAACATCAAAATGTAAGATGTGTGTTAGAACATCATAGGAAATGCCATCCAATCCCGTACTCGTGGCGCTCTTGCAGGTGGACAGCAGTCCAAGAAGCTCCTCCTTAGTGACGGGAGCAAACGGCGCGGATTCGTGTTTGGCCTGCAAGGCGTCAGTCACGGGTTGCAATGAATTAGGGTCACGAGAGTTAAATTTAGCTTCATAGAAGTGCTTCAAATCTCGAAGGGCATTCTCATGTCCACCAGCTCGCTGGATGTAGCTCCCATCCGATAAGGAGCCTGCAGCGGACCTGCGCATGTGAGCAATAGCATGCTTATCCCCATTTCGGGCTCTGTCTAAAAGGTCCTCCTTATGAGCAACTTGCGCAGCTTCACGTGCAGCTCGGATCTTGCCCATCATTGCAGTGCGTTCCTCTCCAGCCAGCATCTTTCGTTGCCTAATGAATTCCTGAATTTCAGGTCCATCTTTATATCGGAGATTTGGAGGCCTGAAGCTGGCCTTCTTTGCAATTAATTCAACAGTCGCATGATTAAATTCTGTTTTGATGCAGTCACCTAGAGCTTCCTTAACGGCATGGTCAGGAGCAACCCATTTGCCACACCGTCGGGTTACCCAAGGTCTCCGTCGGTAAAAGGGAATCCTCGAAAAGACAGTAAGCAGTAACGCCGAATGATCTGATGGAAGGGCAATCCTCAAATCGTCCCTAACAGTCAACTGGTAATCCATGCCGGGAACCCGAAGGAAAAAGAAGTCAATTTTCGTGCTGATCCCCCGTGCATGCCACGTATCACAGGGGGGACTGACAAGATCAAGACCTGCAAGACGCATGCAAGCCCGCAACCTGGGAACTTGTGCAAAATGATCAAATTCTTGAGTTAAGTCCTGGTTCACATCCGCTGCAACAACTATGCGGTCCTGAATTCGGGCAGGCAAAACAAATTCTTCAAGCAACTGAATTCCTGAAGCCCAAGTCTCAAGACACTCCCCACGGTGGTCATGAGGGAAATGCAAACTGGCGACGTACCAATCAACCCCCTGTAATCGCATCTTGAGGAGTACCCCAAAGGGATGCGCACGGTTATCCGTGACGGAGGCGGTGAGCTCATGACGAACTGCAACACAGACTCCTCTCCAGCTTTCAGCGGTGTCTAAGCAGTACGCAGTGTAGGACTGTTTACCTATGGCAAACGGCAGTGCTTGCACATCTTTAATTCCATTGAGGCCTCCAACTTCCTGCAAACACAGAACATCAGGAGGATCCACGTTCCCGTGGATAACATTATCAATGTGCGTAAGGGACTTTCCATGCAAATTCCAATGCAGAACAGAAAGGTCATGAAAGGCTCGACGATTTTGCCTGCGGTGCTGCCGAGGTGCCGCAGGAGCAGCCGGTCTGGGTTCCCTGCCAATTTCCTATGGGCCTCCTGCTGTGCGAGACAACGCATCATGCACTTGTTGTGCCGAAACACCCAAGACCTGTGCAGCCTTAGCGACGTGCACAAACCACCCACTATGATCACCTCGAGTCGTGGTGTGAAGGAATGCTCCCTCGGGAGGGGGTGGGCCTGCGTATCCCAAGATGTTGACCCCATCCGCGAAAACCTTACCCCGCCAATCGTGCTCAACGTCAGCTTGGGGCCTCAAAGAGAGCAGGGCTTCTTTCGTTGACAGGATTGCACGAAGTTTCGCGCGTTCCTCTGGACTACGGTTACGAGTAAACCATACCTTTCGACCTTCTTGCCCGCGGATGTTCGTAACAGGCAGTTGTTCTTTGAGGGCGTTAATGACTTTGGTCTGAAAGGTCCGTTTATCCCCTATGGAGGTGCCCGACGGATAGTTCAGTTCGATGCGTGCAAAGGAACTTCGTGCGTAAGGTATGATGATGTCCTGCACCAAGTTAGACCCTCCTGCCGCAGTGAAAGCCTGACTCAGTTCATGCTCAATATCATGTCTCTTAGCGTCTTGCCAGCCTCCACATGCAATCTGTAGGTCATCCCAGCGAGGATCTTGTCGGGGTGAGACCGGAGCAGATGGACCACCCGGAGCCGCATACCCACTAGGTGCTGGGGACACAGACCGAGAACGTAAGGCCTGAATTTCTTGTCTAAGTTCCTTGATTTCCCTAGTATGATCATGCGAGATGGCTTCAACTGCTTCAATTCTAGGCACCGCGTCCGACACCTTATGCTGAACTAAGGCAATTTCGCGGGAGTAACTGTCAGCTACCTCCAAGAGCTGGCTCTGTTTGTCCTTGAGTTCCTGTATGCTAGATTTAAGAGAAGGGAGCCAGGCTGGTTCATCGAGGTCGTAGTGCTCAGGTGCTCGTGCATTTCGAGGGGCCTCTTGCTGCTGATAGCCCCCGGCAAAAACGGGGGGTGCATGTAAAGGAGCGTTCCTACCAAAAGCGGGGGAGCGGTCCTTCCCATCCCCTTCATGCATGTTGGTACTCCCCAGATCAGGCATGCGTGGCTTCGGAATGTCATGCTGATTAAATTCTGAATTCCCTCCGAATTCTGAAAAATCAGCCCCTTTTCCATCAGAAACTGTCTGCAATTGAGCGACGGCCAACGGCATCTTGTTGACGTCTTTGTCCCCTCTAGGATCCACTTTGACCCCGTTGGGGTCAATCGTCCACGGCTGAGTCTCTCGTTGGCTGAGCGGCAGCTCGTCGGTTCTTTGATTAGGGGGGGCCGCTTGAGGACTATCGGCTGTATCATTTCCTGGGTGCATGAGTTCATCATCAATGGTACTCTCGTGCTTCTTGGGTTTCTTAGAGGGGCTCTCCCCACGCTTGGCGGCTACAGGCCCAGGGAGGCGGCTTAGTTCATCGCCCTCATCATCGGTGTCAAGGGTCCCGGGGGGCTTGAACCTTTCAGGAATCGGGCATCCTAACGCAGCGTCAAGGGCAGCCTGGGCATCTGAGTTCAACGAAGTAGGGGCAACTTTGCTTTTGACCCCGCCCACGCGCTCGGAGAGAGCTGCCAGAGCCCCGGACATACAGCACAACAGCACCTAGCTCAGGAACCCGCCGAGAGCTGTTTTCTCGGATCTCGAGCCGAAATCTTGAGCCAAAATGGCTACGGAGACTTTAGGGCCTCTAGGAGGAGCCTTCGAGAGGTGGATATGAAGCTTGGGATCATCTTTATCACAGTACTGCCAGACCGTGACGTTTTCGGTGTCTCCACTACCCACAGGGGGAAAGCCTTTCAGGATCCACTGAACCCCTTTCTTACCGCGCCACTGCCTGGAGATACATACTGCTTCTTTCCAGCCCTGAGCTCCAAGGAACGCAGTCACTTCAGAACCTTCCCAAGCTTTAGGGAAGCCCTGAGCTTGCACCGTAAGGGCTCTAGGCTCTGGTGCATCCCCAGGTCCTCGAAGAAGACCAAGGTCGCTGCCTCTGCCGATGCGGTACTTGAGTCCTTGCCCCTTAGCGGCCGCAGCGGCCTGTGCAGCTCTGAAGTAAGTTTCTTCGTCTTGCTCACCCTTGGGCAACCATCTGATGGCCTCAGTTGGGCGATCGATGACCTGAGTTTGCGTGATAAAGATTCCATTCGCCCCACTCTTGAGCAGAAGTGCATCTGCAAGGTCTGGCTGAATCCTCACATGGCCAACGAGCTGGTAGCCACCCTTCGTAGACGACCACTTCCAGCTGCCTCCCGTCAATTGGGAGGTTTGACAGACCTTCCACTTGCCGATCTCGGACAAGACGTCCGTCACCTTATCCCACCGATCATCATTCCTGAACAAGATTCTGTAGTGATAGGGAGCGGAGATCCTGATCGTGATCTTAGCTGGCGGAGCAAACTTAGCTACTTCAACTTGGCTTGCCTGCCTGGCCCAAGGGGCCGCGTGAGTGTCTCCCAGAACCAGGACTGTGCAGTCTAGGACTGCAAAAGGCCCAGAGCCTCTCCTGATGCTGACCTTAGCGCCGTACCCTCCCAGCGACTTGTAGTCACCTAAGAGGAGGAGCGTCAAGGGATCGTACCTTGAGGCAGCCGTCCACAGGGCCTTTAGCTCACGAGCCTCGGCTTCGGACTTCACAACCGTAAGGTTCCCATCAAACTCGCTACCAGTCTCAACAGCTTTCACCACAGCAGCTTTGGAAACGAGCTTAACAGGTTTGGTCCATTCACTGGCGTGCAGCGTGACTGGCCCAGCTGGGTCTGGAGATTTCCAGACCTTGGGAGGGGTGTTGCGTTCTGTCTGCTCCCAGCTAGCGTCCTGCCGCTTGTGTCCTCCGGTGGTAGGAGGCGCACGCACAGCTTGCTGAACTGAGCTCTCGACCTTGGGAGGTGGTTTGCTCAAAATCCCTTGAACTCGCTTGACAACCGTCTCATCACTGGCTTGTTGCTTGGCGAGCTCTTCAAGCAGATTCATCAATCGAGCAATGAGTGAGGTCTCAGCCTGTTGGACTTTAGGCTTCTTGGGCGGTGACTGCTGAGCTGGCCCTGCAGTGTTACTGCCCTTGCGCTGCCACTCACTTAAGAAACCAAGCAGCGCAGCAGAAAGAGGCTGCTGCTCTTCCCTGCCTGCACTCTCTTGTTCCTTTTCTTCTCGTTCACGACGCTTCCTACGAGTAGCAGCCGAACTACCGCCTTCAAGCGACAGCTGCGCAAGAGCATGCATGAACGCACCACTTTCTTCCGCGGTGAAGGTTGAACTCTGAGTTGGACGAAACGGGCGCGGCGGAGCACTTCTGGACCTAACTCCGTCCCTCAAACGAAGACTCCAGAAGACGTCACAGCACCGACGAATGGCTGTAGCGTCCTGAGAGGACGCCGTTCTGAGTGGCGCGTTGCGCCACCCGCCACCAAGGCCGCGAGCCCCTCGCAACCCGGGTATTCTCTGCTTTCCGGCCTTTCTAGCAGGAACCATCCACGAATCAAAGGCAAACATGCGGAGCCATGCCTGCTTCCATGGCCCATGAATAGACCATGAGTTTGGTAAACTAGGAGTTTTGCGATACTTCTTCCGCTTTCGCTTGCATCTGCACCAACGCCTCCACAACAAGGTGACTGTACGACGAAACCGCTCTCCCAAACAGAGCGACAGCCACAGAGAGAGGTTAAGACACAGAATGCCGAGCAAGACATGAGTGAAAAGCCAAGGCTCAACCTCATCGTGCTCAAAATGAACATGTTTAGATCTGTCAGACATGTCAGGTGACCCGTTGGAACAAGCAAAACCTTTAACCCCAAAAGGCCAAGCATCGAGGTCAACTGACGCGTTCTTCATCTTCATCGCCCCGCTCGCCGCGAGGTCATCGGGAACGTTGTCCACACTGAGCGCCCATGGCATCGAAGCGTAGACAAAGGGAACGGGAGGGAGGCCCATGTGGGGGCCGGTGCATGTGTATTCACACGCATGTGCATGAGCAGCGCAGGGCAAGCAAAGCAGAGGCAGCAGGAAGCCTAAACGAGTAGAAAGGATTCGAGGCTGCCCCCGGCCGGCCGCTCTTGGATTATGAATTGGGGGACAATGCATTTTTTCTTCCATCAGAGCTCTGTGAGCTTCTTCTGGCGGCAGATATTCTCTGAAGGACTTCAGGGGGTAAAAACTGCAATCAATTCTGAATTGTTCTTGTTTTTTCTTATTGGGGTCTTCTTTGATTTCTTGTACACATCTCGTCAAGCAAAGCTTGTCCGCGCCCACCACGTGGAGGTAGTGCACAAGGACGCCCGAGTGCGCATAGAGCCACTCTTGGTGATCTCGGTTTTCATCTTCCTTAGGGCTGGCAGAAATCTTGTGCCTATACGTGACGTCGCTCCAGTTTGCCACGTCGGGCATCGCTCGCAGCTCGCACGCAGGCAACGCCTGGTTCACCAAGCCCCCATAACATTTCATTTTTCATTGGCCTTCCATGGCACGGAGCTCCAGCTCCCGGGGGTGCCATGACTTAGCCGATGCACTCTGCTCTTGTTCAAAAAAGAGGAGCTACCTCAGTCAACAGCATAGCCGCATTCACGTGCTTGCTCAATACTCACTCCTTGAGAGAGAGCCCAGCTGCCCCATTGCGGCAGCTATGCCACGAATTGATCGGGTTAGAAGCCGTTTTTCACGAGCTTACGCCAAGGCGAGAGCAGCTTCTACCACCTCCATTGGACGGCCACGGACATTATGCTACTTTTGCGACCTTACGGCCCATCGCCTCTGATTGAGAGTGACCATGAGTGGGACGCCACGCAACAGGCACTCTGAGTGACGGCCCGTTGGGTACGGCTCATCAATCATTGGTTCGTGGACATGGGACGCCATAGTCCACACTGAGGGTGACGGAGGGTTTCTCACCCAACTGAGTGACATGCGATGGCCCCTGAACCGCTCGTAGCCTGAAGTGTAGCTGACTGCTGACTGCCTGTCTTTAGACTCTAGGCCCAGGCTCTTTTCACACTGCTCTCAGATCTTTGCTCAGGTGCAAAGGCAGTTTCACACGCCCGCAATGAGCAGAGCCCGCTCGCTCAGCGTCTAATAAAATTGTTGTTGTTGTTGTTGTTGTTGTTGTTGTTGTTGTTGTTGTTGTTGTTGTTGTTGTTGTTGTTGTTGTTGTTGTTGTTGTTGTTTTTTGCTGCTGCTGCTGCTGCTGCTGCTGCTGCTGCTGCTGCTGCTGCTGCTGCTGCTGCTGCTGCTGCTGCTGCTGCTGCTGCTGCTGCTGCTGCTTGCTGTTGTTGCTGCTGCTGCTGCTGTGGTGTTGTTGTTGTTGTTGTTGTTGTTGCTGTTGTTGTTGTTGTTGTTGTTGTTGTTGTTGTTGTTGTTGTTGTTGTTGTTGTTGTTGTTGTTGTTGTTGTTGTTGTTGTTGTTGTTGTTGTTGTTGTTGTTGTTGTTGTTGTTGTTGTTGTTGTTGTTGTTGTTGTTGTTGTTGTTGTTGTTGTTGTTGTTGTTGTTGTTGTTGTTGTTGTTGTTGTTGTTGTTGTTGTTGTTGTTGTTGTTGTTGTTGTTGTTGTTGTTGTTGTTGTTGTTGTTGTTGTTGTTGTTGTTGTTGTTGTTGTTGTTGTTGTTGTTGTTGTTGTTGTTGTTGTTGTTGTTGTTGTTGTTGTTGTTGTTGTTGTTGTTGTTGTTGTTGTTGTTGTTGTTGTTGTTGTTGTTGTTGTTGTTGTTGTTGTTGTTGTTGTTGTTGTTGTTTTGTGTTGTTGTTGTTGCTGCTGCTGTTGTTGTTGTTGCTGCTGCTGCTGCTGCTGGTGTTGTTGTTGTTGTTGTTTCTTGGCTTTTTGTTTGCTCCCACCCCTCCAAACCCGCCGCCTATTAAGCATACAAGCCTTCAGGCTGGAGGCCTCCATGCTCTAGGTCCGGGATGTCCTAGGCCTCCGGGTTTAGTTCCGCGCGCAGCTGGACACCTCAGTTCCTTTGCAAATTATGGTAAGCTCTTCCGAGATTTCAAACCCGTTAATTTAATATGACAAGGAGATATATCAGAACACTTACGTGACAACAGAGTCCCATATTTTCAATACGTTCTGTTTCTTCCACGGGGAGCGCGGCCAAGTGCAAACTCATTGACGATGTGTGCACCCGTTCCGCCCCGTGCGGCCGGCTTCCTCAGCGACATCTTCCGGTCTCAACAGCTTCTAGGCGATCTGGTTTGTCGAATCTGAGACACATGTATAGTGCGAGGTAGGCCAGCTTGGAGTCAGCGTCATGGGCGAAAATCAGAAGCCGTCCTTCTTGCACCGTCCAGGCCAGGCACGGCGAAGCCCTGAAACCATGAGAAGCAATTCTCTTGTCCTCCCACTGGCCTCACCGCTTGAGCTTGACATGCTCCAAAGCCGCATCCAAAGCCTGCCGAAATCCGGCTAAGTCGACCTGCATGAAATCGCTGACCTCGTCGGAAACACCCTGCGTCATGACGTGGAAGTACTTCCTCGGTCGATTGTGGAGGCAGACTGGCTTCCCCCAATGCACAGCACTTGCATCACACCCCCCTGGAAAAAAACTAGCCAATCTGTACTCTACAGCCCTTGAGCACAACACAAGTCTAGGAACCAAAAGAGTGCTTCTCATGTTCATGGCCAGGAACACCCAAGAAATGCTTCCTTCCAAGCTGAAATAAGTAGCCAAGCGGACGTTGCCGTCCGGCAGGTCGCAGCCCCGAACCTTCAGAGAGTGGCCACCGCAAATGAACTCGATTACCGCCGTGTGGATGTCACAGGGCATCCAGAGGATGTTTGAGAAAGCAGTTCCATGCGGGCCGAAAACAAGGACGGCGGAGCTAAACAGGCGATGCTGCTCTTGGTAAGATGCTGCCTTCTTTCCGTCCGACGTTCCATTGAAGACCACGATTTCTGACGACATCCCGTGCCGACTCAGGGCGTCTGTGGCAGTCTGCACAACCTCCTGAGAATGTTCAGTTGTTAAGAGCCGGCCATGTCCTGCTGTGGAAGACATCCGGAGGGTGTATACAACCCGTGTTGCGTTGTAGGCAGGCTGCACCTGCGCGATGTGCTTGCGCAAGTGGTTAAACAGAGGTGGAATGCGAAGTCCGTGCGGGCTCGGGGCCTTTGGGACCACAACCCACAGCGAAGACGCGCACACAACTTGCTCGGACTGTACGAAAGAAGTCCGCTGGTACAATGCCGGATCAAACCATGCTATGAACTTTTGGATGTTGTTCTGCTTGTCCAACTCTAGGACTACTCGTGCTTTGGGGTGCGAAGTGCTCATCCAAACAAGAACTGGCAGCAAGTCATGCAGAACATGGCCATACTGAAATTTCTTGAAGACGAACCCCCTGAAGAAGATAGCCTCCCCTTCCACAGTCTCCGCGCAATCTTGCAGAAGGTCTTCGGTCGTCGGTGGTAAATACCAGCCAGAGCGTGCTAAGTCAGGGCTCGATGGGGAAACTCGAACTTGCCAGTTCCCAAACCCCGCGGCTGCTGGATATGCAAAGCGTGCTTGGAGTAGATTTTTGACTTCGAATGCATCATCAATGGTTCGCATCAGCACGTGCTTCGTGACCCAAGCTGCTTGATCCCAGACTTGATGGTTTGCAGAATCGTTGGCCTCAGCTCCCAAACACAGAGTGACTTCGCCGACGGCGTCAAAGGTTGGACAGTTGCCCGTCAAGTAGGATACTGTGGACAAGGTCGCCTCCTTCACCATCTTCAGTGGCTTCGACGACTCTATCTCTATCCTGTTCACGACCTGAAGTGTTTCGCTTAGAGACAGAAAGAATGGGACTGGCAATAGCAGTCCTGCCGCCGCTGCCAAGCAGAACATATACCAGCGTGCTGCCATGGCTGCGAGCGAAGTCTCGTTGTTGCTACACGACGAGCACCTCAAATCCAACAGGTTGCAGCTTTATGTTCAGAAGGGTACAATATGTAGTCTTGGCTCCTTCTAGCCGTTCGCTTCCACAGATCCCGAAACTGAACTGCACCACTGCACGTTCTAAATTGCGGATCATGAGACCACAGAGGCAGCGGCGTGAGCAGCAATCACAACCACAAACCCATGGTTTTGATTTAAATATCTGCAGGACGAAGTTTCCCGGAACGTGGTGAGACGAGAAGTCGCTCAAGCAAGAGGCGCCGCAGACGGTTCTTTTTACTGAACTCATCCGTGAAAGAAACAGCGATCTTCGAGATTCCGGCGGTCTTTCCGAGTACTTGGAGAGGTCGGGGCCTCCAGCTCAACCGCTTTGTATGAGTTCAGTGTCGGGGAATGCTCTCTTGAAGCGCTCACTGATAGCACTGCATTTGCGACAGGCTCTTCTTTCAAATATGACCTTCGGCCTCAGTCAATAACCGGGCCGTCATAGTATGAATACTAATTACTGACGACTGCCAGCCGTCGGGCTGACACTAGAGACGAGCATTCCGAAAGCGCTGGAGCAGCGAGGCATGTCTCATCCATCCATCAATTCCTCAGTCCCTCCCTCCCTCCCTGCGTCCATCCATGCATGAATCCCTCGCTCCCTCTCTCTTGGTTCATTCGTCCGTCCATGCATCCATCCATCCCTCATCAATCCATTCATCAAAAGCCCGCTATCGAAGCCCTTCTGCACACCCGTCTACAAACCCTCCAATCAATTCCTCCATGAACCCTCTACATACCCTCGCAGAAACGTCTCTTATAACACCTTCCTGGAATCCCTCCGACACACCGTTCCGTAAACCTATCTAGAAACCCTTCTACCCTTCCAAAACCCCTTCTATGTAAACCTGTCTGCTTGTCTGTAAGCCCTTGACCAGAATGCTTGACCAGAATGCTTCCCCTCATTTAACTCTGGCAGCGTTTCGAGACAAAAATCAACGCGTCACCCCACACACACACACACACACACAAACACACAGTGCCTGGACACGCTGGCATCACAGAGATGGTTGCGACTCGCAGGCCAACAGGAGACCATCAATGTATTGGAATTTTCGGACGAGGACACGCCGGTAACCCCGACAGGGTCATGCCGAGGCCTTACACAGGGCCAACGCACGCCGGTGTGATCACACACGTCCGAGTTGCGTCCGTTTCCCACCAGGGTGAGTTTCCGAAACCTGACCCCACGGCCGTCGTGGCGCCCGATGCTCAAAGGTTCCAACCAGAGAACCATCATTTCCACAGCACGTGCCCCGCCGGCCACTGCCACAGATCCACAATGCTTGGGGCCGGGCTATGTAACCTTGGCCTCGTGGCCAAGACCGGGCAACTCCTTGCCAAAGACCTGGCTGCACAAAGGTGCAGACCAAGGCATGAGTTGCAGCGATTGCCTGACCATGAACCCTCGCATCACGATGCTGGCTACGCAAGCACACACCCGGGCCCAGGACGGCCGCAAAGACATGTGGTAAGAGGGAAAGGAACTCTGGAGCAAGCCGGCTCACTGGCAATGTCAAAGCCAGCCCGAAAACCTCTGCATTGAATCCTCAAGCAGCAAGCCCAAGAAACAAGACACAAAACAACTGCAAAAGAAATCCACCTGTCTGGCAAATGATCTCCCTCGCGTCCATCTACCTCGAACCGGCCAACGCTCTCCTGACGAAACAGAGCCACGGCAACGCCATTTTTATCACAAGAGGCCACCACCGACCGCACACCGATGATGAGAAGCACTACTGTAATGCTTGAAAAACGCAGGTGCGTACTAGCACATGCGCCTGGCGTGGTGACGGTCCTTTAGAGGCTTTCGGGCTGGTAACTTGCCGAAGGGGATGTTCTTGGTCCTTGGAACAGGCGCAGTGAAACAGTGCAATCCAGTTGAGAACCGCTCAGGTACATACGAGTCACGAAATACAAGTCCGGCTCGTTGCCGACGTAGAGCTGGCTATGTCTCTCCCTATGCACTAGGTCGCAGGCCCTACCAGTGCGATGGTCCAGGCTTGGGCTGGGCCACGGCAGAGAAACCACGAAGACACTGACTGCTTCCTTGTGAAACTATTTACGACCCGCCTTGAACTGAGCAGAGCCTTTTTCTTTTCTCAAACAGGCACGAGCAGGTGGGGGATTGAAGACTACAAGGTTCGCGTTTGCTCCCTTCTGCTGCTTACTGGAAGAAGGCCTTCACGGTGGCGTGAGCTGTGACAGTTCTACAAGTCGCCCAATGCCTTCTTGGCACTTCAATGCCCCTGCCGGAAAGCATTATCACTAGCCACGGTGGGGCGGGCAAATATATCAGGGTCAGTCACTGCATGCGTAATCATAAGTACCCCACAATAAGAAAGCAAAACGACAGCACCACTGAAGCTCTACGACTGCCGGGTGCCCGAGCTCCATCTTTGGGCGCACGGCATCCAAGTTCGGCTTGTACTGGCCTGGCCTCCACACACGTAAGCGCATGCACACACATTTGTGTTTACGTATGTATATGTATATGTATAAATAAAAATTTAGAAAATATATATATATATATATATATATACATATGTCCTTTCTGTGTGTGTCTGTATAAATGAGATATATGCATATGCGAAGTACACAGACAGACAGACAGACAGACGGAGACCTAGGCATGGATATAGGTGTTTACTAGATACCTGATACCGGTATAGATATAAATTTAAAGAGACAGATATAGGCAGATATACATCGATAAAGATAGAAATAGATAGCTACTGATAGAAATATATAGATATATAGGTAGCTATTGTTATAGATCGGCAGACAGAGGAGTTTAAGTTCATTCACCGAGATGATAAAGCTTTCAAACCTGGGCTTTGCAGGTTCTACGGGGAAAGCAATTCAAGCTCCGACAACTTGGAGCCCGGGCTGGAAGTATGTCTCCGGATCCTTGTGCTTGGCTGCCGAAAGCCTGCATAACGAAGGAACAGTGTATCGGTGTAGCCGTAGTATAATCCGCCGGACCCAAAGGTGGAACACATTCAACCATGCGACCATGTGAGCAAAAAAAAGATTGATACGCATCGCTGATACGAATGTCAGCCACATTCAGGGAAGTCATGTATGGTCATAGAATTCTGGGCCACCGACTTTGCAAAGTCCCACTCCGGAGTTCGAAGAATCCTTAGTGGCTCGGCCCAACCGAGCATCTGAATCTTGGTGCTTCGAGCAGGATCAAGGGCTGCCGTGTGCCAATCTTCTACAGGATTCATGACTCTACGACTCTACCATCTTCCGTGGTGCTTTCAGCCCAGGCTCATGGATGTGCTGCAGTCGCCATCCAAGACACCGTCCTTGGGAGGTTGGGCTTTCATGTCTTACGTTTGTGCTGAAACCTTCATGCAGGAGTCTTGCTGATACACGATCTTGCCTCAGCACGCCTGACCCGACATCGCATCTTACATGCACATAACCAAGGCAACGACCGTAAAGGTGCTGTCGTTGAAGTTGATGCCGGCACTCTTCAGGAGGTCTGGCCTGGTCGATGCGACTCGTCAGCTGTGACGGTACTGCGTAGCAGCTGCAACAACAAACGTTTGGCTCTTTTACATATCCTGATCTCTGTCTAACAAAGATTGTGGAGACTCCAGACTATGTGGCAGCCGCAGAACTTGGGGACAGCTCCGACGCAGTTTTCCAGCCCATGTCGGAAGAACATCTGAGGCCGTGCATGACGAATGAAAGCCCGCCCTGAAGCACGTCATGCTCAACATCTGCTGAAGTCAGTGTGTCTGAGCCTCGGGGGGTAGCGATCCAGATTGGGAGTCGTGACGGCGCGTCGCATCCTGAAGCAAGGGCGCACGCCCGAGCCCTGACTTGCCAGCTTTGGTGTCCACAGGCTGTCGTATAAGACTGTTGTCCCCGGACTGTTGGAGATGCACGCTAAAAGGGTGCGAAGACGACGCGGGATTGACATGCCTGCGGAAAGAAGTGTGCACAAGGTTCTGCCTCACGCAGCTTACGCACCTTGATTTGCCTCACATGCAGCTTACGATTACTGCCGCGGGAGGCAGGAATTTGGGAGTTTCGCAGACACTAAAGGCGATACTGAACTCTACTCGACTAGCTTCACCGCCAACTCCAAATTGTCAGGCCCGCCCTGGACCTAAACGGCCTTAGATAAGTGTGAGTCTTGACCCGCAGCCGTTCGGGATAGCATATGATATGAGGTAGGATCCGTCTTGAACAAGCCTCTCCGGTGGCTCGTCACGCAGCTCGACGCTGGTCACACCCTGGATGGTAAATCCAGGGCAGCTGACGAGCTGGCAACGCTAACAACAAGCCCGTGTAAGAGCACTAATTCCCTGCCATGTCTGGGTGGGAGAGCGGGAATCGGAAGAAGCTGCATACAAAAGACTAATTACAAACGAGTCCAGACGCTTCAACAACCGCCGCCGTCGACAGTACGAGCATGTGCAGCTCTGCCTACCTATGCTTGACGGGTGCTGCAACAAAGTGGCAGCTGGCCGTCTCCTACATCTGTTCGGGGACGCACATGAAAGCTCGCAAATATGACAAAAGCAATATTTGCATGTACATCTGCATGTGTATGTGACTGTTTATGTGTCTGTGCATGTGCCTGTGTCTGTGTATGTGTATGTGTGTGTGTGCACGTCTGTACGTGCGTGTGGACGTCTGTATGTTTGTGTACGTCTGTGTGTGTCTGTATGTGTCTCTATGTCTGCATGCCTGTATTCCTGTATGCCTGTTTGCCAGTATGCCTGCATGCCTGTATGTCCGTCTGCATGTATGTATGTATGTCAATGTATGTATGTATGCATGCATGTATGTGTGTTTGTGCGCACATGCGTATGTGTACTTGTGTGCAGTGCAAGTAAGGAATGTAATGGGCAATCAGCTGCGCGATGGTGTAGCCATTTATTTATACCTATGTGCGTATTTCTGTGCATGGTCGTCGTGCTTCTGGGATGTGTGCTCGGTACTCCCTTCTGCCGTACTGCGTTTTTCCTTGATCTCGAAAGTAGGAGTGACGTCTGCCGCTCTACAAGTAACGTCGTCTGGAAGGTTCCAGCGAGAGATGCTCGACGTTGCTCGGTGGACCCTTCACGTGCCTGCAGCAGGTGCTCGTACGGTTTGCCTGCTGCCTGAAGCTTTCTCACCTGCATGCAGCATGAGATGGGCCAAGATCTCCAGACTTGCCAGGGCCGTCCGTTCACTGCAGAAATGCTGACATGATGTAATGATGTGTGCATCTGATTACATGCACCGTGCTCCCACACTCGCACAACGGCATCACCACTCCCTCAGTCCCTCAGTCGCAAGCTTGCTAAGTTCGAATGCTCCTTGTGCCCGCCTCCCTTTCCATGAGCATGCGCTTTTTGCTATACGTCGGCTCGCCATTGGTGAAGACCTCAAAGACAGCCCCAGCCCCTTGGAGCTATCGCCGCGTCTCTTCGATGCGTAGAAAACTTCAGAACAGTCGAAACCATCCACAGCAGACCGCATGACAGCATGATTGGACAGAGAGGACCAACACCCAGCGCATGGACATTGCCCAGCGCATGGACATTGCCAAGCTGGCTCCGGAAATGGCATCCCTCTGGCTCTTGGGTCACCGGGTCTCTCTGGATATCTGAAATCCAAAACTTTGTGTAGACGTAGCTGTCCTGCTTAACCCCATGCGGAGCAAGTGTTTAAAAGCGTCTACGCCGCCCTGTGTTTGCGGCCGGCGTCTTCACTCGCGGAGCGCAAAGGTGCGTCATGGGCCGGTAGGAGCCGGGAGGAGGTGCCTGCGAGCTTGTGCTGTGCTGCTCTGAGGCTCTCGGACGAGTCTACGGCACCCCAGTTGATTCTCTCTGTCTCTGCTCGCAACTGCTACAGGACCTCCTGGCCACGCCCGAGGCTTCCTGGGGCCCCGGCACGAAATCTATTCTCGATGGCCTGCTGACTTCAAGCATAGTTGAGCAGGTAGCAGATGCTTCATTCAAAGATGGATTTCACTCCTGAAGGCAAGCCTGTGCACTTGTCAACAGAGGTTGAGACGGAACACATTTGGTTATGTCTTCCGTCCATCCACACCATTGCTTAACTGTTCCCAGTTGCGACCATCAATTCCTGACCGGTGACCAGATCAACCTTCTTGCGATGGCATCTGTGTACATGTCCTGTACGATGGACCGTGGCTGCTTCTCCAGGCTTCTTGCGGTGGAATGAAGTCTCCGTGGTGCTACTTCGCTTCTAGACTTGTCTCATCTTGTCTCTCTAAAGTGCATCAGCCCCCCGGGCGTGCCAGAGAGTTCACGTACTCCCTGCTGGTGGAGACGAAGGAAGACATAGGCCTGGCGTCAGCAAATTTGCACGCAAGCTTCCGGAGTGGGAGTGGCCTGGGCTTTCCGAAACATCAAAGTGCCGTAGGGATGCGAATGATGCCTCTAGCACAATGCATCCGAAGGCCATACAGCACGGAGAAGACCAGGCAAGCAGCAGCAGAGCTCGAAAAGCCGTGGCCGGACAACAAAATCGCACCCTTGTCCTCACGACAGCAACCTGCGATTGAAGATGATCCACGACAGGTCAGAACCCCACACAATCTTGATGCATCCTCAGTTGGCAGGCCTAACTCTGAGCCCAAGTCGCCCGCCTATCATCTGTCTCAAAGCTGCCCAATTCGCCCCCCCTCCTCCTCAACCCCGCCCCCAAATGCCAGAAGCCAGCCTCTTCTGCTCCCGCAGGGCCCTCAGCTGACCGGCTGGGACTTTCGCGTCCGAATCTTCGTCCTCCTCGGCCTGCAACTCTGGAAATTTGGCAGCTGCTGGGTTTTCTGCGTGTCTATGGATGCGCCTACTTGTTGCTTCTTTGCATGCTTAAGCATGCCACGAACAGACGTGATCGTAGCTTTGCTGTGCTTGCTTGGTATTTCGGACGATGAGCCACAGGGTCTTTCTACCATATACGGTCATATAGGTCACCCGAGATTGTCGGCATTGGCCGCAGTTTCGCTGCGCATTCCGTCGAGCAGGTGACCATGCAACTGCTCTGTTGTGCCGACATTTCTTTGCGAAAGCCGGAATGCACGGAAGGTCGAGGATTCGGAAGTGCACTTGGCTAGAAGCTCTGGGCACATCTTGGCACGACGAGCCGGGAGAGCGCAAAAACTGGACTTGTGTCCAATCGGATTCCCACGGCTAACCCCGCCCCCAGCCCGTCTTGGCCTCTGCGCTTCTTCGCATGTTGCACAGTACATTAATCACAGGTTGTGCCTAGCCAGGAAATAGTGCCAGAGGTAAGCACGACTAGCAAAAGACAGACACGACTGCCTTAGCCTTATGAAAGCGGCTATGATCACTAGAGAGCAACCACAACCACACAACCAAGCAAGCAAAGCAAGGCAAAGCAGGGAACGCAGCCCTTTCGCTGCAATGAGACATCGATGCTGCGTCGGATTCGGCTGTGCGCTCGCCACTCTACACTGCACAACAGGCTGAACATCACACCGGAAAGAAAGAGTGTTGAGAATTCTTTGAATTCTCAGCGGCCAGCGTCCTTCATTCTAGCCTTTCGCCGCTCTCGCTGACCACGGCGAATCCCGGCTCGCCGCTCCTCCTCAACACGGTCCGTCTCGGACTCCCGCAAGGAAATCACGCGGGCCTTGCGAAAGCCATCGAACAGGAGGTCTGCCATGGCTTTGGTTAACCCATCAGCAAATTGCCGCCAGGTGGGAACCCAGTGAAGGCCCACGGTACCTTCTTGGATCAACTGACGAACCGCCAAAATATCCAAAGCCGTCTGGCGCTCAGCAGCTAACGAAGTCCCTTGAGCATGATCATACAAAGACTTCGCGTCCGTGACAAGATGTCCAGGAACCTGCAGCTGGCGGCGCCAATTGGCTCCAACCTCTATGTGGCCGAACCATAGTGCGTCGAACAACTTTTGGTTATACAGCAACTTATCAGCTGCTGCCGCCATGCTGCAGCACTCGGCTGACATACTGCTGCGCACCACGCGGCTGATCTTGCACGAGTGGAACTCCAAGATCGCCGCCGACGCAGGCTCCCGAAGGCACTTCTTGTCCGCGATGAAGTGGACCTCGCCCCGCTGGGCCGCCGCGCTACCAGTCTTGCCGAGGCTCGCGTCGAAGAACGTCACCAAGACAGGATCCTCCCCAACAGGCGGGAAGGCGAGAGTTGCGCGACCTCCTTTAGCAGCTTGGTGGAATCGCTCTAGCAGTGCCACACCCTCCTTCAAATCCTCCTTGGTAGCCTTGGACACTTGCTGGGCCAAAGCACTCACCTCGAAAAGGAACTCGGGCAGAACATGGTGAGCCGGCCATCTCAACTGCGCCACCAGGCGCCGGAAGGCCTTCAACGCCGAATCCTTCAGGACTTGGCCCTTCTTCAGGCCCGACAGGTCAGGAGGCTGAATCGCGAGGACATAGGCCGTCATGTCATTGAAGAAGATCCCGTTCTTCATGTAGATCTTCAGGCCGAGGTAGTCCAAAGGAACTTCCTGGACCAAGTTCCACACCTTGATCTGGAACCGGTCGTTGATGGCTGACTTCAGCCGGTCCATCAGCTTCACATCAGCCACCAACATGCCATCATCAACATGAAGACATAGCACTGCTAGAACCTTACGGCTTTTCGGATCTCGCCAGACAAAGGTGCACAACGCAAAGGGGAGCTCCTCAAAACCGCACTCGCTGAGGAGTTCCTTAGCCCTTTCGTACCACAGCCGTGGGGCTTCGGCAAGACCATAAGCACTGCGAAGGATCAACCATAGCTCGCTCAGCCCAGTCCCCTTCAGATCTCGAGGAGGCCGGACATACAATTCACGGCCCACTTCCTTCCCGCTCAGGAACGCCGTGGAGACGTCGAAGAGGTAGCACAGCCAACGGCGAGTGACACACAAGGTCATCGCCATGCGAACAGCGGTGGCTTGAGTGGTAGGAGAATCTGTCCTGACCTCCCCCACATCAGGATCCATGTGCCCTGGCAGAACAATCCTGCTTTTGGGCTGTAACAAGCCCGACCCCACTGCGGCCTTGTTGGTCCTCACAATTCTCGCCGGAACCTTGAAAATGCGGTGCGAAGGGACTCGACGGGCTTGCTCGGCACTGAGTTTTCGAACCACATTGTTCTTTTCCCAGGCCTGCCACTCTACAGCATCCGACGCATCAAAGGCCTTGGCTTCCTCGGAGCTGAAGTAGCGAGGATCGAGCTCCTTCCCGTTGGCCTTCAGCCTCAGCAAGAACGCCTCGGATCGGAGCGCACTCTCCTGGAGATCGCCAGCCGCAGCCAGGAGCACCTCCGGGGATGCTTCTCCAGCCTGATACACAGCGCCCTCCTTTTCAACGAAGACAGGCTCCAGGCAGGATCCGTCACGAAGTCCAGTATTCTCACGCGCAACTGGCTCCTGGTCCGGGGAGGGCCTCCGACAGAACAAGGTCAAGCCTCGCCAGTGGAACGAGAGCTTTCGCCGACCCCACCTCGTTCGGGGACTCCGCCGCAACCATCACTGTCGAGGGGTCCTTCTGCACCATCACAGTCAGCCTGGCACAGTTCTTGTTGCCCCCAGGAGCTTGCAGGCGCTTGCGGGGAGCACGATGGACACGCACTGAACTGAGAGGCACATCAAGCAGCTGGCTCAGGTAGTCAACCTCGGCTCTGCCCAGCCACTCGTTCTTGAGAGTATCGGTCTTCAGGATCTCACCCTCGGAAATGGCAGCCAACACGTAGTTGACAAAGGCGACATCCTTCATTTTCTTTCGTGCTGGGCCGTCTGGGTCTCCGAGGTTCTGCTCGTGCTGCTCCTGCTTTCTCTTGTGAAAGGCTCGGACAGGCTCAGGCAAATCATCAAGCAACTGGGCCCGGCGATCCTCTTGCGCAGCCCGGGAGTCCAGAGGCACTTCCAGGAGTCTCTCCATCTCTTCTTCGTCCATTTCCGAAGGAGAAACCTCGCTATCTGCATAAGCAGGGGGAGGACCCGCATCATTGGACTCCTCTGGCTCCCTTAGCTCGCTGACGTCACTTATCCCGGGCTTAGGTGCCGAAGGAGCAGGCACGGGAACACGTCGCCGACGAGGAGCAAGTGGAACCTTCAACATTTTCTTGACACTCTTGAGGTTCGACATCATTCGCCTCGCCTCGGTGGCGCGCCGTCCCAGAGTGTTCCGCCGCCGCCGAACACAAAGACCGGGGCCCTGGACAGTGTGTCCTGCTTCCTCGTCTTTGGCAGGAGGTGGCTCGTCGGAAAGGTCTACGAACCCCTCTCCAGGTGCGCCTCTGCTTCACGAAGGCGAAGATCATGATCATCAGCGCTCTCCAAGGAGGCCACCTTCAGGTTGGCAGCCGCCACAAGCAGGCACCTACCCCGCCACGACACAAAGTACTTCTGAGAGCCGTCGGGCATCAGGATCACAGCTGGGCCCCTCCAAGCCCCAGCGTCCTTCCGGTAGCGTCGCCTCTTGAAGTCGGCGGCCGGAGACCAAAAGAACACCATCTCTCCAGGAGCGAACTCACGGGACTGACCGCCTGGAGCACGACGAAGTGCCGCCTTCAGCTTCTCATGAACATCTCCGTGAAGCAAAGCCACCCGGGCTGCAGCTCGCATCTCCGCCATTCGGGCGACCTCACCTTCTACAGAAAGAGCCTGACCCAGACCAGCAGCTGACCACACCTCCTCGTCCAACAATTCCGGCAGGTAGGCTTGTCGGCCAAACACCAGCTGGTGAGCACTATGCCCGCGGCGACTGACAGTGGAGTTCTTAGCCTGCAAAGCGCATGCCAAAGCCGCCTTCATGGCCGCTCTCCCTTCAGCCTTATCGGCTTCCACAGCTGCTGCGCAAGCGACACCCAGCAAAGCACCCTGGCGCTCACAAAAGCCGTTCTGCCACGGGGCGTACGAACCGGTCACCTTGCTGGCAATGCTGTGCGACTCCAGCAAAGCGATGAACTCAGTCTCAAACTCACCCCCCTGGTCAAGCACGATGGCAACGGGGATGCCGAAGAGACCGAGCCAACCACTCATGAACTTAGCAGCCACGTGCGAGGGGTCCCGGCAACGCAAAAGGCGAGCCGCGTGAAAGCACGTCGCAGCATCCACCATGGACAGGGCCACGTACAGCTGATTGCCCGCATCCTTGATGTACTTGAGGTCTAAGTGTACCTCGTAGTTGAAAGCAATCGGCCTGGAACCGGGACGAGCTGGTAGAGGCCGAATCGGTTGCTTCCTCATCTGGCACAAAGGACACTTGAGATTACGAGCCATATCCAGCAGCTCATCACTGGCCCCCCCCATCTGCAACAGCCGAACCAGGTTCTCATTGGTGGGATGCCCAAGTCGCCTGTGAACCAAGTGCAGTCGCTCCAACTTGGACCCAGGCTCCACAGCAGCCTCCTGAGCTTCTGGTGGATCCAAATCCTTCGGAACATCACGACGACCACGAGACAGAAGATCACGAAGCTGTTCTACGCTAGGAGACCCACCATCTGGATTGGAGTTGTTGTTGTCGGGCGCATGGCCGCCATGGGTACCATCTACCTCACCTTGGGACCCACCATCAGGATTGGAGTTGTTGTCGTTGGGTGCCAGGTCGCCATGGTTGCCCACTGATTCCTGAGCGGTGCCGCGGGGTTGGTGAAAATCTCCCCGGTCCACATCCAGACCATCAAGCCAGGCTTCCGAAACTTCACTTGCATCATCCCTGGCTCCTTCCACCATTGGCGCGTCATGCAGCACTTCCTCGTCATCTTCCACAAAGGTCTCTTCAGGAAGCAGGGGCGCCGAAACAAAACCAACGGGGGCCACAAGCATGCGCCCTCTCTGGCACAGGGCCTCAGCAGCACCATGTGCCACCGCCTTGCACCACCTCCTGGGCCACCTGCCGGCACCATCGGCCACAAACGCCAGTGCCACCGGCCATTCCCCTGGGAGAAGAAGAAAGTCGAGGGTGCCGAAGAGCGCCACGATCGAGACGCCGCAGAAGGTCGAGGTCGGCCACGACACGAAAAGGCTCGCATGAAGCAGTAGAGGAGGTGCGCTAGGCGGCCAAATTCACAGAAGCAGCGGGCACACCAGCAAGGGCATTCGCGACGAGCGGGTGGTGCCAGGCAGAATGCGAAGGAGAACCGGCACATAGCAAAAGTGCACCACGGGCTCGCTGGCGTAAGATCAAGTCGTGCGCCAGCCGCCATAGTATCAGCTTGGCGAGCTTGTAGTGACATTGTAGTGCATGTAGTCTGGCAGCCGTAGGTGTACCGTACGAGACGAGGTCAGGAGGCACGAGGTCGTCAGGCCATGAGACCACCAGCAGATCCGGGCCGAAACGGTCAACATACTGTCTCGCCTCGCGACGGTCGGCCGAGCTGGTCAGTTCAAAACCAGGCGACGCCACCGGCTGTCCAGCAGTCCATCCCTGGGCCGCGGCCAGGAGGCTAACAGTCATGCTGCACACGAACACTTCGAGCACACGCCATGGGCCTGGCTGTCGTGCGGCTGGGCGCTGTGATCGTAGGGAACGGGAGGCAGGAGATGAGGTCAAAACCCGCTGAGGTGAGGCCGCCACTTCACGAACAAGCCGGGAGGCCTGATTCAGGCGTTTGCCTTTGTGCAAGAAGTGCGTCGAGTGGTTCTCCTGAATCGGCACCTCCGGCTCCTCACTCCCAGTATCCGAGCCCGACGTCACAAGCTCCACACCGAACTCGTGTGATGTAACGGAAGCCCTGTCCTCCTCAAAGTCAGGACGAAGCTCGGTTGAGGCCGCGCTGTCCCCGTCTGCATCATCTGCCGAAGGCCGGTCACGTAGAAGCCGATGGTCGTCAATCACGCGCACGCCCAGGTCGTCCTGCAGAAAGTCTAGCCACTCCTGCTCTCGGTGCTGGCGGTGATGCCGTCTCCAATGCCGGGGGTCCTCGCCTTGATCTAGCTCCTCCGGGGCATCCGCCGACAAAACCGAACTTGCCGAGGAAGGCGCTTCATCCACACCGCCGCCGGTACCAGTCACAAAGGCCAGGCTAGCTTGGCCTGCTCCAACACTCCATGCTCCTTCCAAGGATCTCCTTCGGGAAGACAGCTAAGTAGATCAAGAGCAGGATGGCGTGTCGGTGAGTTGCATGGGCTGACGGTGGCCCATGATCACCAGCTCCCTGGTCCGAAACTCGAACTGGACAGACCACCTGGCCAGCTCACTAGGACCAACAAGCCCAGGGCACGAGGCAGCCGCACCAGAACCCTCCGACATGCGCAGCACGTCCACTTGGCCCGGCACCAGGGCCACTGGATACAGGAAGGCCCGCTGCGAGACGACCGGGGGACCACTGCCAAACTGGAACACCTCCCGCTCTCGAACCGTCTGCCAGGACACACCACGATTCCGGAGCTCGCTCTGCAAGGCTTCATGCCACCTTGCTCCCCCCACTGCTGTTCTGCAGCCGGTGTCGGCAACAGCCAATCCCGGCGACCAAACAGGGCCATCATCAGCAGGAGGTTCGGGATTCTCACTGGCAGGTGGTCCTTGGTTCACCATCAGCACACCATGGCGCACACTGTAGTAGATCACGTGCTTCAGGTCACATTTGGCACACCGGGCAAAATGCCCATGCTGATTGGCGGTCCACAGGAGATCACCAAAAAGATGCCGGCACCGCGCTTGCTTCTCGTTGGGCCTAGGGGCAGCCTGGCTAGGTATGCACCGGCGGTCTTGCAGCTGGCGGGCATACAAGTCATGTCGGAAATCATCAAGCTCCTTCTGCTTCACCGCCTTGGCTTTGTCCCGGCCCTCAGCGTCCTTGGCTGCCGGCGGCCGTGGGGCGTCCCGAGGTCGCAGTGGAAATTGGTCTCGGTCTCGGTGGCGGCCAAGGTCCTCGTACTCAGGCTGGGCCGTCACCCGCAAAGGAGGCACAAAGTCATTGGAACCCCGGGCAGCAGCACCAGACTCCGAGACAAAAGGCCGCTGGGAGGATAGAGAGGCCCAAGCTGCTTCCACCTCCTCCTCTTCTTGGAGAAGCATCTTAAGGGCCTTCTTCTCCTCTCTCGACAATTGGTCGACGGCACCGAGCACCTCGACCGGCTTCAGGCGAACCTTCTTGGCTTTCGGCAATTCCAAGCGCATGGGGCGAGTGCCGTCAGGATTTGGTGACGGCCCGGCGCTCGGCAAAGTTCCCGGCTCCGGCTCATTCACCACAGTCCAGCCCCTCTTGCTCAGCCGGGTGCCACACTTGGCACAAAAGGCAGCAGATTCCTCGCAAAAGTGGCCGCAATTCGGACACTCACTAAGAGAGCCCACCATGAACGTAAAGTTCACAAAGTTCACCTCATTCGTGCCATTGCCGCCGCCAGTGCCACCAGGTCGATGGGGCGCATCACGGCCGGACTGAACATTCGGGCACTCCGCATCACCACGCCAGTGGCCCTTGGCCCCGCAACTAGCACACGTTGAGCTCTTCTTCTTCTGGGCCAAGGCAACCTTTCCAGCCCCACCGGCGCCACCACGATCACCACCAGAGGGTGCCGTCCTGAAACCTCGGGCCTTCTTCTTGCCTCCGGCCTTGGACTTTGCCTGCCACCCGGCTTGGAAGGCTTCAAAAACGTCCACCGCCTCCTCGCCAGAGTCCTGGTCACCATCCCCGTCGTCTGGCTCATTCTGGTCCGCCTCTTCATACTCAAGGGGCTCTGGGTCAATCTCCTCTTGCTCCAAGTCCTCATCGTCCACGTTCTCGCCGTCATCCTCCTCAATGGTTTGCTGGCCTGCCACATGTACACCATGCTTCCTGGTACTCCGGGTCCGCAGGGAAGAGGCCGTAGAACCGGAAGCGGTTGAGGCCGCCGAGGATCCCACGGAACGGGTTGAGCGAGACGACCGCGACGAGAAAGGGACCCGGCGCTCTTCCTCATGAACATGGGAGCACCGGTGCCTCAGGGCACGCTCGATGGCATCCGTGTCGTAGCAGCCGCCGGCGCTGTAGAAGACATCCAAGCGGTCACGTCGAGTCAGCCCGGCCCGGTTCAGGAGTCGCTGGGCCCAGGCTTTGTTACTCCAAGTGCTGTCGGGGTCCTCTACGGTATAGTTCATCCTCAGGCGCTTCATGCCAGCAACGAAGCTGGCCACCGACTGGCCAGGGAGCCGCCTGTATGCCGAGAGCTCCTTCTCCGCACGCTCAAAGCTTTCCGCATTCGACTCCCCAAACGTTTCCTCCAGCAAGGCCCACATGACCACCAAACCACCTGGAGCCGTGTAGTCACTGAGGGGCCTCTGGTCCAGGGTGTCCCGTGCCTCGCCCCGGGTGCTCAAGTACAGCAGCATAGCCAGCTCAGAAGACTCCAGCTTATACAAGTGCTCTTGGGCTTCCGAGGCACGCCGCCAAGCACGGAACTTCTTTCTCTCACCATGGAACTCTTCAATCTTCACTGACCCAATGCTCGACTTGGGTCTCTCATGCTCCTTCATCTTGCGGCGAAGCATGCTCTTGATCTCCGAAGTTCCGGCACTACTGGAAGACTCCGTTCCAGGGCCAAGGCCGGCACCCATCCTCAAAGCTGCCCTTGCCGTCGTAGTCGGTGTAGTGGTCCCGGGCAACTCTTCCGGAGGCGTGGCTCCCGTGGCCGTGCTCCTTGCGACACTCTGGGAGGCGGGACCTCCTCTTGACTCGGCGAAGCAGCCACAGTAGGAACCGCAGCCGACGAGGCTCCGATCCACGACCATGGAGAAGATTGCCAGCCGCCATTCCACGAAGGTGCTGGTACTCCTTGGTGCCCAGCAGGATCACTCGGATATACGCCGGCACCGCCAGGTAGATGAGCAGGCCACCCCGGTAGAAAAGGAGGAGGTACCTGCGCTCCCGGGAACCACCCTCCAAAGGCACCAGGAGGTACAGGAAGAACAGGTGGTCCTTGGTGAGCATAAGGCCACCCAGGGGGAGCACTAGTAGGAACAGGTAGTCCTGAAGGCCACCCGCCGCAAGCACTCGCCCAGCCACCTTGTTGCAAACCAGGAGGCTGAGTCGACCATTCTCCAGCTCGGCTCGCCTGTTCCTGGCCCGGTGCGGCAGCACTGCCAGGCGGCGACGAGCCCAACGTAGGACGCCATTGTCCCGCTGCTGGCCTTGCCGGGGAAGAAGAGGAAGCTCGCGGCGCATCCTCCATCACATCTGCGTCTGCCTCCGCACGTCCAGTAAGCGAACCACTTTCAGCCAACGAGTTTTCCCGAGAGCTGCCAGTAGCACCGCCGTCCTGCCATGGGTCAGACGCATCCCAAGGATCGCGCTCCTCCGGCACCGGCACAGCTGTTGCATCAGGCGCCGCTGGCGCTGCCATTGCGAGGCTCAGAGCAGGGCAGCAGCCTAGCCTAAACCCCCCTAAGCTCCGCTACCAATATGAAAGCGGCTATGATCACTAGAGAGCAACCACAACCACACAACCAAGCAAGCAAAGCAAGGCAAAGCAGGGAACGCAGCCCTTTCGCTGCAATGAGACATCGATGCTGCGTCGGATTCGGCTGTGCGCTCGCCACTCTACACTGCACAACAGGCTGAACATCACAAGCCTGTGGACCGGCTACAACGAGTAGCAAAAACAGCTCTCACAGTGAGAAAATCATGACACAATTGAAACAACGATACAAATTAACAGAACAAGCAGGAATGACACCAGAGGTCATGTTTGCTATCAAAGTGAGCACGGTCTGCCATAATCTATTCACTTCATTCCAACACAAGCAAGCAGTGGCAAGCACGTCTTGTGACATGGGCAGACTCAGTTAGACTGTTACTGCTTACTGGTAAGGCTACGGATGAGCATTTCCCAAGTGGAAGATCGCTCAAGTTGTTCGCACCACTAAATTCACGAAACCAATCTATGGCGTAGTCCTGCTCCCAGAGTTTCAAGGCCTGCTGTGGGTCCTGCTCCTCTGCGGTGGTATGGATGCCCACCACCTGGAAAAGTCCCTTTTGTTGCACTCGCACAAGAAGCAGCCGAGGGACCTGGGCCTCGTAAGCATACGTGGCATAACAGCGAACTGTTTTAGGCCCCTCCAAATGCTCAGCCTCAGGACCCTGCTAAAACTGTCCTCGTCCTTTGGGCTGTTGGAAGACTCCGCTACTCTGGCATCACTGGACCTAATGCGATTCTGACCTGAACGGACACTCATGCCATGACGGCCTGTGCTCCTCCCTGGAACATAGGGGCGTCTGTGCATTACAACTGCTGTGAACATAGACAGCACCTCGCGCAGGGTCCGTCTCAGCTGCTCGATGCCGGTGCTCTCTTTAGTGCCTTCCTGTGGCAATTTGCAATGGAGGCTTTGCTTCGTTGCTTAGCTCAGAGCCGCGGTAGGCACACCGTACGTACGCGTGGGCTGCAGACTGCAGTCCCCCCCATGTGAAAACATACAGTGATTAGGCTCTGGGACATGACATGTAGCCATCATGTAAAACGACAACTCAATGCTCGGTTTCAAGAACCTTCGATTAAGACTCCATTCTGTCTTGGGTGCAGACGACTCGACACATATGACCAGATCTTTGATACTTCTGTTGATTCTCAAGCATTGCAACTAAGCCGCATGGTGCATGCTGGTGCCAGACAAGCCCACCTACTCACCGAAGCCTCCTATTCATCATCTGCTGATGTCAGCATATCCCCTTCCAGGATCCTCTTCATAAGATACAGATCTTACAGCCAGCGCACCTGCTCCTTTTTCTCCACATGCCGCGGCCTGCAGGGCTGCAAGACCAATGTAGCCGTATGCTCCGGAGTGAATTTCAGCACATTCCGTTTCCCTTTCTGTTCCAGGGGCCGTTCTTTTTTTTATGTAGCATCCAACAGTTCTGTCTGCATTGGGATCTTCTGATTGTCGCCAACTCCCAGATGGAAGTGACAGTGGCACTCCAATATGCAAGGCTTCAACGCTTCACCGCGGCATCCGTCCAAGATACGCCCTCGAAGCACCTCTAGGTTCGAGAAAAGATTTTGGACAAGAAGGGAGCAGTTAAGCCCACCTGTGCGAGTCTTGCTTGGCAGAGTAGTCGTACCTGGCAAAACACCACCACCCGACACTTTATGGAAACGATGCCGTCCCGTCTCGCCGTCCCGTCTAGCAGCATCGTGCAGCCACAAATGCTTGAACACGAGGGCAAAACACCAAAGAGCAAGCATTGCTGAATCGCACGCACACCACTCGCTCTCAACCCGCATGCCCAGGGCACAGGGGGTCGACACCAGGACCCAACTGCCGGCGCAAGGCGTCTAGAGACCCCTGCGTCGAGATGCCTGACAGCCACAGTGCAGATTCTTTCGACACATCCGCAAGGGGGGGAAACTGTATCTCTGACACACACACACACACACACAAGGCAACAAACAAGCAAGCCGACGAACAAACAAACAGACAGACACGCAAACACACATACACACACGCTCACGGAGACAGACCAAAGCAAAGACTTGTTGGTCCGTCTGCTTTAGGTTTCTTACCGACTCCTAGTCAGCATGTGCGCAAACATGCACATGTGTAATTATTTGTGTCTAATATTTGTATCTAATATACGTAGATGCACAGTTAATGGTGCTATATGTGTGCTTGTCTGTGGTGAGCACGTAACTGTGTGTCTGTACATGCATGCATGCACGCATGTAAGCAGGTCGGTAAACAGATAGCTAGGTAGGTGGGTAGGTAAGTAGGAAATAGGTGGGCCGGTTGTGAAATACGTTCGTGCGTACGCGACGTAGGTAGGCAGGCAAGCAGGCAGGCAGGCTGGCACGCAAGTTGGTAGGTAGCAGGCAGGCATGTGGCAGGTAGGCAGCTCTGTTTCCATATACGTGCATACAATTGCATGCATATATATATATAGATAGATGCGCACTGCATGCGCGTATGTATGTCTGCATGGGTGCCTAGTGATGTGCCGAGTGTATTACAGCTATGTCTATGTATATCTACAAATATGTACGTATGTCTGCCTGTCTGCCTGTCTGTCCCTGTCTGTCTGTCCGTCCGGCTGCCGCTATCGCCATGTATGTATGTATGCATGTATGTAGTAGGTGTGCATGTCCCGATGTGGCTATGTAGCTACGGTATGCATGTATGATCCCGGGTCTCGGTTCGCCGAGCCCCCCGCAATAGTACCAGCCACCCAAGCCGAATCTGTGTGGCTGCCCACACTTCTTGCGCATGAGGGCCCCAAAACCGTCATCTGTCAGGAGGATCGCGTCCCAAAGACGCCCGATCCGTGTGACAGTGCAAATTTTTCCGGCACGATTCACACGTGAGGCCGCCAAAGCCCTCAACTTCCACGAGGATCGCGTTCCAAACACGCCCGATCCTTGTGACTGCGGACACTTCCCAACGAAAGACGACTTTGACATGAGAGTCTTAGACAAAGCAACTGTCACGAGGACCCACCCCAAACAGACCCACCCGGACCACACGGCACCACAGGGAAGGGGGTGAGGGTGGGGAACTATACTATTGGGGGAGGGGGAGCGGGCGGGGGGCTGGCCGAACCGGGATCGTCTCTGTGTCAACGTTTCCCTCTCGCTCTGCCAAGCTGTGAGACAAAAATGGCCCCCCCTAGAAAGCACACCCAGAGAAGCGTGTACAAGTATCTATGTAGTTCCTAAGAATCCGTATAATTCTGTATGTATGCATATGTAGATAGGCAGGCAGGCAGGCAGCATTCAGGTAGGTAGGTAGGCCCGTCTGCCGTATGTGTGTACGTGTACATATGCATGTATGTGCGCACGAATGTATGTACAAATTCAAGTATGTACGTAGGTATGTATGAACCTACGTACTAGTAGGTATGTACGCATGCATGCATTTATGCATGCGTGGCTGTATGGGCGCATGTATGTATGCATGTATGCATGCATGTGTGTATGTGTGTATACAATATAGGTATCTATGCATGCATGCATGTTTTGTTGCCTCTCGCCTGGCTAGGACGAACCTACGATGTAGCTCGGCAGATTGCAAACTTGCAACCAGCGCCATCTCCTGTCTCTCGACTGAGTTTGAGTTCGTCTCATGTCTTGCACAGTAGACATACTCGGGCTCACTTGCAGCACGATGTGCATCACGCAGACTCCGAACCCTCTTGACTTGCACATACCATGCTCCCCGTTCATGCAGCTCACCAGCCTGGTTGGAGCACACTTTATGGATGTACGACGGTATGTATGTATGTATGTATGCATGCATGTCTGCATGTCTACATGTGCGCATGGATATTTGCAAGCATGCTGCATGAGTATGTATGCATGTACAGGGATTTGTACAACAGGACTTGGCTAATCGGGCTCATTAGCGAACTTGCCAATCCATCTGTCCCCGCTTGCCTATCTGACTCATCATGCCATCGAGGAACATGGTGACCTTAGTTTTGCAATGCCATTCTCGGAGGGTCACAGCAGTATGATAGCAGGCTGTTCCAAGCTACGTGCCTGACCGGT